ATTTCGATCCTTAAAATTTCTCACGAATTAATTTTCATTTAGTGCTCCTCTATGCCAAAAGTTGTACATGTGGCTAGTTGTACCCTCATCATAATTGTAAATGTTGTTAATTATCTAATAAAAAGCCCACGGCCATAGAGGTCACCTTAATATTAAAAAAAAAATATAATTTTAAATTTTAAGAGAAAAAATACTTAATTTTAAATTTTTGATTAAAAATTCCAAAATTAAGCATCTTTTTCTTAATCTTTAAAATTATAAGGTAAATGTATACAAATATTATGCATTTTTATATGTAGAACAAATTTACTTAGAGCACTAATGTAAGTTTATTTAGTAAAATGTTGTAGATCTTAATATTTTCCATAATTTTATTATTAAAATTATAAAAAATAATATTACTCTCAAATTTTTGCTAATGAAACCATCTTTATGTTTTAAGTTAACTTGTTCTATGCATAAAAATACATCATACATTTATTCTATAATTTTAAAGGTTAAGAAAAAGATGCTCAATTTTGAAATTTTTGATCAAAAATTCAAAATTGACACTTTTTTTCTTAAAATTTAAAATTGGTAACATATATTTATATAATGTATTTTTATGCATAGAACAAATTTACTTAGAGCATTAAGGTAGGTTTATTTAGTACAATTTTGTGGATTTTAATATTTTCCATAATTAAATTAATAAAATTATAAAAAATATTGCGATTTTAAATATTTGCTTGGTAAATCTCTTTTTAGCTTCTAAGTAAAGTTGTAGAGAAATGCATTGCGATCAAAATGGCGGTTAAACCAGTATATCGTAAGATATATGTATCTTAGTCTTCACGACTATATGCTTTATTCTTTATTTATATAAAGAAAAAAAAACATATAATCGCGAAGACAAAAATACTTATATCTCGTGATCTACTAGGCTGATTTTAACGTTTTAACCGCCATTTCGACCGCAAGACACTGCTCTACAACCTTTATTAGAAGTTGAAAAAAAAGTTTACTTAGTAAAGAAAAAAGGTTTGGTTAAAAAACTCCAAATTCAGAAATTTTACTATTCAATATATATTCAAACTCAAACAGTTTGACAACTTCAAATAAAACCCAAATCAAACTTACAATTATGTTTGAGGTTGATTTGAGTTTGAAAATTTGCAAATCAAACTCAAACTCAAACTTATCAAATCAAACTTCGGAACCCTAGAGACAAGCTTGCGTTGGAGAAACTTAATGAGAAGAAACTCTTGTTGCTGCTCAAGGTCTGCCTTCTGCTTTGAACTTAAAACTCATGTGTAGATGTAACTTTTTGGCATAGAGGAGCACTAAATGAAAATTAATTCGTGAGAAATTTTAAGGATCGAAATAGAAATTTAACGGTTTTAAAGAATGTAGTAATCACCTTTATATGGAAGCGAAACTAGTCATGATTGGTCAGAGAACTTACTAGTCATGACTAAGCATGGTGCAACAACGGTTAATTTTTATATCAGGAGGGCATAAAAAATAATAAAAAATTTATTTGGATTGTTATCACGTGACTTTGGGAACGAATATTAGGGGCTCTGGTGATTTCAGATAATCACATGACAAGTAATACTACATATATTAATCTGCAGTATATAAAGACTCAGTTCTGTAGATAAATCGAATATTATCGCTCCAGACTTCGAAAGCACGGAACGTTTTAACACCTAAATATATCTAAAGAAACAATTATATGTGATTAAGTGAGGTATGAAATGTTAAGTAAGGTGTACTAATTGGATTTGGCTTCCATTAATCTGTAGTCACGTTCTAACAAGCAAAAATCTTTTTGGGCATTTCAACAGTAAAAGACTTATAAGAATGTCTGATTTGCTGGACGTTGATGACATTACCATGGGTGAATACATGGAGGAATTGGATGTCGAATGGCCTTGTAAGTTATCACAAGAAAAAGACAAGAACTCTTTTTAGACAATCTAAAATTTCTCTTTAATTAGGTTCGGAAAATGGTCCTTCTGAACGAAAGCCTTCTTGGTTTTGGGTTAGTACTTGTTTCTTACGTTATGTTATTAATTGAGTTTTTGATAAAATTTTAAACATTAAATTATATTAAGCTTCGTGAAGTAACTTCGCAAGATGCAGAAAATGGGATGGATGTGGTAAAGTAGTTTTATGATGTATATTGTTTGATAGCTAAATACGATTTTAATCCCCTTTTTTTTGAAAAAAAGCAAGGAATTACGTGGGATTCCTTCAACGTTACTCGTCAGCGGTATCGTGAATTACGGTGTGTGTCTGATTTTTTTTTTTTCCTTCATAAGCTGCTACTAATGAATTAATAGATGCCTAACCAGAAATTAATTTTTATTCAGGCTCATAGACTATAAAAATTATGAGAATGTTCAAAGATCGCATGACGAAATCAAGAAGGTTTGAAATTTTCGTTTCTATATACGTTGTTTCCGAGTAATCATTCTTTAATATCATGTATATGATTTTCTTTCTTAGGAAATTAAACCTGTTCAAACAGATTCCCAATTTTACAAGTTCAAATATACCACGCTTTCACATAAATGTACAATTGTACATTTCCAATTACGGAATCTATTATGGGCAACCGGAAGAAATGACGTGTTTTACACATGTGAGTTGTTGATATTCGGATATTTGAGATAACTTTAATTGGCATAATTTTCTGAATATAAAATTGTCTTTAGATTCTTCACGTATTGGATACTGGAATTCAATAATGAAAAAATCCAAAGTAGCATTAGATCTGAATTACAATAATCGTAACGCAGAAACTCCCTTCG